GTGACTAGCACCTGGTCCTAGGATTATGGTTTTGTGCACCCCAATCCCTTCCATCCCATTTTTTCCCCCACTGGTTCTTGTCAGCAAACACTAGATAGACTTTTCTACAGCTTCACAGGCTTATAGTTATTGTTGTGGGCTGGTTGTTTTGTGGGGGTTTTTATTTTTAAATTGATGTAAGGTTAATTGGTTCATTAGATATGCATTTGTGTAATTTTAGCTTTAAAATGATTCCTGGGCTTGGAATGTGGAAATTCTTCATTGCATTGGGATAACAATTTCCTGTGTGCCTCTGTAGTGCATGGAGCTCACCCTGCTGTCTCGGACAGCTTAAGTGTTATTGAGTAACTGGAGCCAGTTGAAACATGTTGTCACCTTCCAGCCTGTTCTTAGTTTCTGAATTTCTTCCTTTTCCTCCCGAATCCCAAAAGGCTTTATTAAGACAGCTTTGTGGGAACCATTAACTCTATGCTGCATAATTACGTTACTATGACTTAGTTTATAGTAGGAAAGAAAAAAAAAGCATGTGTCTCTAGAAATTTATATTCCTCAATGACAGAATTTTAACTTAGTAAGTTAAAAGGTTTACTCAGTTTACCTAGAAAGTTATAGCAATTAACAGCAAGAGGCTTTACCTGCAGAACTACTAAACACAATAAGGTTGGTTCTGTGAAAACATGATGCTCTATTGAGCACCTGGGCTTGCTCTATTGAGCACCATGTTACTATGCTTGTTCTTTACCTTCCAAATTGCATATGACTCATGTACTTAAAGAAAGGGATGGTGTTGCTATTTAGCTTGCTTTGTTTAGAAGTGAGGACCAATATTTAGTATATTTATCTTTATTTAGGGATGCACGTCCTGTCGTTCTTGCACAGCTCTGAATTGCATGCGTTTGTGATGCTGGAAGTCAGACCAGGACGTGGGGGTTTTTTTCTAAGTTTTTTTTAAGGCATGTGTACAAATAGTGCAGTGATGATAGTCCCCATGCCAGTATTTGTGCGATACTGTGTGACCTCCCTCTCGCTGTTGCATTTCAGGCCACCTAATGCCAAGCCACCTCCCTTTCTCTCTCCCTCCCCAGCGCATCCCATGACTAAAGCAGGGCAGACTGCCCAGGCATCGGACAGTATGTGTGTTGTTGTTCCTCTGTCACCCTTGCAGTGCCAACTGCAATAGCCAGTAGTCTATCTTGTGATTAGGAGATGGCATGAAAACAAACCTTTTCACCCTGAAAGGCCCAAGACTAAGCCAGACAATTTTTAGTGATCTGCAACAAATACTCTGGTTTCTGGGCTGGATGAACAGACGGGCTGCATTTTTTCATATTTTGGTGGTGCACTTAATTAAGTGCTGGCATCCTTATTTATGTTATTCTTGTTGAAAAATGGGCTGGGGGGAGGAGCAGGGCTTTATCTGTTATTAGTTTTTTGACTTTTTTTATAGGTCTAGCCTAGGAACTCACACAGTTAAATTTGCCTCATATGGTCACTCTGCCACAAAGCTAAAAACTTCAGAGAAAAATTGAAGTCTTAAGCTCTGTCTGTCAGGGACATGTCAGCAACAGACCATGTGTTCTTTTTTCCCAGGGGAAAAAAATTGGCACCTACCCATCAATGAACTGGTTTTCATTTTGGGGTGTTTTTTTTTTTTTTTTTTTTTTTTAATCACTGAGCCTCAGAAACTTGTGTGTGCAGTCAAAGATCAATTTAATTTTACAAGCATTGCATGTTTAGTCCTTAGCACTAATTGGCTGTAGATGAGAAGCTGATCAGTCTGGTCGGTTTGGATGTGGCTTTGCAGTTAGGGGTAAGATCTCACTGTGCCTGTGCTGTTCAGTTTATGCTGTGTGATGCTCTCTGCTTTGGCTTATTTTTAACTGTGGCAGCTTCTAATAAGTGTAAAATAAGCAGCTTCTAATAAGCTGCTTAGAAGCTGTTTCTAATAAGTGTCTTTGCTTTGCGTTTCCCATCCCCAAGGAATTACACACTAGTCTCTTCCCCTTTTTCTTAAAGGTTCTCAAGCTGGCTGTATGTATAGCTGCAGCTTGCCATGCTGCAGTTAGCAGTAAGCCAAGGTATTAACACTTCTAGACTATTTTTCTTGTTTTTCTGAAAACAGAATTCAAACATTTTGTCATCTCAGATCCTCTACAAATGCAACCTATTATCTCGTAGACAATAAGTTTAAAGTGTTATTTTATGCAGCATTTTTTCTTTTACAGTCTTTCAGCTATAACTTTAAAAGTGCCTCTGAAGAGTGCCAGTGCTAACTGGTATTTTTTTTCCCCTTGTCAAATGCAAATCTCTCACTTCCCAAGTGTGAACATACAAAGCTCTCTTACTGGTGTGTGGTTTTGTTGTTTGTTTGTTGGTTTGGGTTTTTTTTAATAACAAAATTAGGCCACAGTTAACTAAGCAGAGTGACCGGATTTCTGCTGGATCAACATGTTATCAACTCGAGGTTGTCACTACAAAGTAAGTGTGGTGAAGTCTGCCTGTTCCAAGTAAAATCAAAGCAGCCTCTTGACATATAGCAGTGCTGAAGTCAGCAGTTTCTGCAACGTGGGTCTAAATGCAGATTGAAGGATCTCGTCTGTGTATGTATGTAACTACCAGGGCCAACCTAATTATTTATAATCAAATACTTTTAATCTTATTTTTACTCAGGAGGACATGAGAGAAAACAGTTCTAAGTGATTTTTTTGTTTTTCAGCTTTTCCTTCCCTATAAAAGATTTGGCTTTGTGAGGAGTATTTAATGTTTTCTCTAAAGTAGGCCACCTGAGAGATCCTATGGAGTAATTCACTTTGCTGAGTTGGCAGACAAGGCCGTTGGATAGAGTCAAAAAAGATACTGCCAACTGTGAAGCAAATGCATCAATACATCAGTTTGCTTCTTCTGATACGACGAAAAAAGCAATAGCACAGCTGCAGTATCTGACATACAGATTTAAAAAACAAATATAAACGCACGCACACACACGCATTGGGTTGGCTTTTATTGTAGAAAGCCTAGATGCAATCTATAGTTACCAATTTGTGGAAAATTCAGGACACATATAAAGTTAAGAAGGCAAATTAAAAGAACAATACAAATCAGACGAAATATACATCTCAAAATATCAGGATAGCACTTTGACTGGCATTGCCTAAAATACTTAGAATCTCCTTTCTTTTTTCTTTTTGTAATATCCTTCTTTTAATTATACATTTTTTTTCTTTAAAAAGATCTTTTGTTTATATATTCCCCAAGGTCACTATTTCCTGCAGGAGCATGTCCAGATCGCAAGTCTTTTTTAGCAAGAAATAGGCTCATTATACCTACCAACAAGGCCACTAATTGGCTTGATTTGACTTGATCTGAAATGATCACCGACAGATAGTATAATTTGTTGTTTATTGGTGCCAGAACAAAGGAGAAGGAACTGGTATGCGTCAAGTAGAAGATATATTTCATTGTTGACATGTTGTACAAGCTTTTCATATTCAAACAGAACAGAAACATTTGACATAATTTAGAATATGAGCCTATTTCAACAGAGAGCACTTACAGCATGCTAAATACAGTGCTGTGGAAGAGCCACCCAACAGAACTGCAAACACCTAGCATTTTACATCTTTAAAAAGAATACGTAGATCAATGACACGCCTCTGGGGTCTGACATATCATCCTCTCTAAATTTAGGGCCCTCAAGACTTCAAGGGTAGAAATACTAACAACTAATCTGTGCTTTCATTCTAATAGATGATTAGCATTCATTATATGTGTAATTAGTTCTGTATGCTCTACCAAATACACACATACAGTAATAGCACTGATACCGTAGATTCGGTAGCGACTTGGCTGGGAGAAATTAAAATCTGTTTATCAAACAATCCTAATGTGCAATTTAGAGTATGTAATACCATAGACTCTCAGAATACAAAGCAGTTAGAAAACTATTTTTATTACATCCACTTGAACCATTCATAGTTAAGACACGTTCACTTACGATGTTTTGTCATTATAATACATGGATAGAAATACTGTGTATATTTCAATGAACATCAAAACCCCCCAATTTTGTCTCATCTTAAAAATATTTATTTTTGTGGCTGAATTTAGTGCTCATGAGAGTAAAGCTCTAAGAATGGTTTCAGCCAAGATGTAGAACAGATGCCATAGATGCCACCACAGGCTTCCCGTAAGGAACCAGCTGCACACTTCAGTTCTATCCTGCAGCAAACATACTGGGCCTTGGAGCAGAGCACGCCAAACCATGCAGTGGTGTGGAGATGCAGACTAGGCACTAGAACTGGACCTTCCTCTCCATCCCCAGGTTCAGTGTTCACAGTAGTGGGATTTGATCTGCCAGCTGAAGACCAGGAGATGAACTGACTGAACAGCCTGCCTGCCTAAAGAACAATTCCGTAGCATCAGGTCAGAGGTACGCTTCTTCTATCTGGAATTATTAACATCTAAAAGAGCTGTATTATACAGAAGACAAAGTTGACATAACTGGATGAAACTACATAATTTCTTCTTCTTCTTCTACATACAATTTGCCAAGCACCTGAGAAACTATTCTCTCCATTGTGAAACAAAGCTTCTAAAAAAACAACAGAAACCCCACCTGGTATGAATAAATGTCCATTTATTACGTTAGGGCTGGAAAAAGACAAGGAAAACCCAACCTATTAAAGTCTTCCATCATAATAAACGAGACTTATTTGGTTACTGTGCCTTCTAACAATGACTGATGAAGTGGCACTGGCCTGGGTGACAGGAGAGGTGCGGGAGGGGAGGGAGCTGCGGTCTGATTTCAGCCAGCCACTTTGGAGTGTCCCATCCTATCAGCAAAGTGATAGATGCACAGCTTTAAACCTAATACAAAAATATTAACACTTTTGGACATTAGTCATCACTGTTATATCTCTACAATATAATCCTTTATACTGTACAGCTATAACATAAAAGGTGCAATTCCTTTTTCTTTTAAAAAAATCACACACAGCACATGTTTTTATCATTTTATTTTTAAGTATAAACTTTTTTAAACACTTTACATAAATTAACTCCTCTGAGACTAATATTTGATGTACAGTAAATTGTAATTCATATAAAAATCCATAAACAACTTGTCTCACATAATTTACAAAAAATCAGGGTTTCCTTTGCTTATCTGCAACAAGGATTCTACTTGCCATTTTCCCCCCAAGGCAAACCATGTTAGCATTGTAAAATCCATTATTAAATTCCCATGGTAGCATAAGTCACTTGTGCCAATGTCCTTTTAGAAAGCAGTACAGTTTAAAGCAGTTGGGTTGTCTATAAACAGTAATTTTTGCCCCACGTTTTAAAATTAACAGATATATACCACATCCTATGTAGTGAGAAAGAGAGAGAAAAAGAGAGAAAGAGAGAAAGAGACTACTTCTCGTAAGCAAAGGTCAACAATTCAGTAATATTTGGAAACACTGTATGGGCTTTTAATCTTAATTGAATACAGTGCCTCAAAGGAACAGACAGCCTGTTGCAAAATCTGTAGGCCTTTTTCTTTTCTTTTTTCTTCCTTTTTTTTTTTTTTTAATACTTTTCAGTCCAACTTGAGTGCAGCGATACGCATATGTAAACATATTCTTTAAAGCAGATCACCTTTAAGGTCATTGAGAAAAAAAAAAAAAGTTTTGTCATTAGCAGTATCATTCTTCTGGAAGGCGCTCTTTTCATCACAGAGTCTGTTCAGATTGTGCTACAGAAAAAATCTGAGCAAAGATGTAAGCTTAGGCTCAAGTAGTAATGCAGCAAAACAGTTTGGTCTCCTTTTTAGAAGACACTGGTACACAGTCTCTTTGGCAGCCTGAGCTAAGCCAGTGTGTTACCTCTTTCCTATCTCACTTTGTCTGAGGAACTGTATATTGTTAGCACTGTCTGCTAATTCTGGATATTGCTCCACAGAGAGTACATAGTACCCATCGTATCCTTGTACCTTTCCAGCACTTAGCAACTGCCTCTTTTCTCCTTCTGTCCACAACCTGGCGCCTTCTTCTCCATCTCTTACTCTCTGTTGTTCTCTGGCCCAGGCACTGGAAAGAGCTCTTTGCCTGGCTTGCTCCAGTATTCGGGCCTTCTCCTCATCAAGCGTCATGCCATAGCGGACATGAAGCGCTAAAGCACCATACTGCATTTCAACATCAGCAAACCTGCGAGTCCTGCCATTTACCACAGTGGTGGACTGGGAAACGGTGACGTTGATGCCGTTCTCCAGGGCCTTCCGCCCACTTGTCAGCCTCAGTGTCCCAAGGTCACTCTCCGGCGAGGTGGTCTTGATAAAATAGTGTGTGTCCTTTCCCTCAACGGTGAAATGCAAGTTTTCTAGGTAGTAGGCGTTGTTCAGAACAGCTGCCACTTTTATGCAGTCCTCATTTGCAATGTTGAGCACGTTTGTTTGCACTTTGCCTTGATTGACAGCAAGCATCACCCCTTTCCCAATCAGAGACTTCACGGTAGCAAACCACAGCCATGACTTCTCTCCACTGGATTTCCGTCTGCTGACCTGCACTTCTGCCATCTTTCCCAGGGAAAGGAAAGCCTTTGCTTGTCTCACCACTTGTTGCTGCACTCCAGAAATTGGCTGTAAACAAGAACAGACAGAAGTTTTACCAGCCATCTGTAGCCCTCTAGATGCCAAACAGCCAGGCTTTCTTGGTGTGCTGCCTGTGACCGACAACTGGATATGCCACAACTGACAGTGCCAAAGAGTTAATTAAATCTACATACTGCTTGTTCTGCTGAGTTACAAGACTATTTTGTTTGATAACGTTCAGTACTTTTTGACCCCCCAAGAGCTTGCACAAAAATAAGATTTAATTTCACAGGCTACTTACTGGGCTGCACAGGACAGACCTTTGCAATACTGAATATGGGTAAGAGCTATCTTACTACAGTGTCATCTCATCCTCTGAGCTTGTTTGACTGTGACTCCTGTCTAGCATGAGTCCATCCAAATTGAGATTTTTACAGGTCACGAAGCTGCACGTCCGAACAGGAACAAGCCCTTCTTTATGGTGAGTCAGGAGATAAGAGTCTCTTGGGTAGCTGCAGTCCAAGACCAAACTGCAGGGAGGCTCTCATAACCCCTCAAGCTGCTAAAGGAAGGAGCAGTATGACAGTGTTTACCGTCAAAGAGAAGGAAGTAAATGGTAGAGAGCAGGGAGGTGGAATACTGGGGACTGATGCCCTTTCCTGCAAATACTTGCAGAAACTGCTAAAAGGGTATGTGTGAAGAAGCTGTGGCCAATTCAGTTGCATGAGCTTCCATTTCACTCCAAGTATCGGCATGCTGCCTAAAAGAGGCGAGCAGCTTCTCGGCCTAGAACTTCAGACAAGTGCTATCCTACATACAGCAGAGTGCTTTGTTGACAGCAAAGACACAGCGCAATGAATGAAAAGAACCAACGGGCAAGTCTAAAATATACCAGCTTGGTATTTCATGTTTTATCATATCTGGGGTGTTCTTGTTGAAAAGGTAGGTGTGCTGTAAAGGGGAGGAAATAAGAGGTGCAGTTGTGAGGCACAAAAGCACAAGATGGAAAAGCTAGAATAGGAGAATCTGTTAAAGAAGTTGATAGTGACTGTTAAGAGCTATATGTAGCCCAGTATGCCAGGCGCAGAGATTCAAAAGATAGCTGGGGAACGGGACCTGGCAGCTTAACTGCTGTGGTGAGCC